CCGACCCTCCTCGGGAGCTGAAGGCCGCCTCCCGGCCCGCGTCCGGCCTGGCCGAGGCCTCCTGTCCGCGCCCCTGGACAGGGCAGTTCCATCCTTCCCCCATAAGGACTGTGGATGGGTTATAACTAAAACAAGCCGGCAAGCAACTCCCCCCCTCCACCATGTACCTTATTTAGTTAGTAAAACATATTTTTCTCTTCTCTCTTTTGAGGTTCTCGGAAGCCAATTCTAGTGCAGTTTTGGGGGGTTACATTTACTCGAGGGAAATATGAAATAGTTATTTGCAAAGGTTTAAATTCTTTTTTGATGTACAATATGTGATGTATTGATTTATTTATTGCACTGCTGCCTTCCCTGGCAGGATTGCTCAAGAAACGGTTGCATTTGCAGTCAGGATATACATGTTAATAAGTTAACAAACATATATATGTGTGTGTGTGCGCACGTGCATATATATATGTGTGTGTGTGTATGTGTGTATATATATATATATATATACATACACACACACACATATATATATGCGGCAGAGAGGAAGCCCTGGAACCCAGCCCTCCACCTTATCCACCTTATATGCACACACACCTTAGAGTAATACACAGAAAAAATTGCCTCACACATTAAAGTGGATCATAAGTGGATGAAAAATAACAAACCATAGACATGTTTCTAAACCTTTTTCCCTTGTGTTCACCCACATTCTTAGGTCTAACAGTATTTGACACACAGCCAAGCATTGGGTACATTTTTGTAGGATGATCGAATCACCCCATTCACGATGAATCTTTAGCCTTGGATTTAATGCACTTCTCTTCAATAAATTTTTATTTTGAACTCAGTATTTGCCAAGCACTTTGCTAGGCTTGGTGGGTTTGTGAAGATATAGAAACGATGGATAGTCATAGCTAACATTTATTTTCTCTCTATACCGTCAGGCACTCTTCTAAGCACTTTATGTGTATTGGCACATTTAGTATTCACAAGAACACTAAGAGACTTTTTATTTCCGTTTTATGGCTGAGGAAAAGTAAAGCACAAAGGTTACATCCTAAGTGTTAACTACTCCACTTCTCTAATAGGTAGTGTAATTCAGATTAGGACCCCCCGCTGCCTTCCAGTGCCTCACTCCAACAGCCTAAAATGATATATTCACATACTCAACAAATTATAAAATTGGGACATACTGTTGGAAATACCACCGAAAGTTTAGAGCATCATGGGAAAACAAGATGAGGAGGGGTTTGAATTTGTGAACATCTATCTTGGGTTGGATATTGAAAGTTGAAGCTATAACTTCTTTTTAAAAATACATTTTTATTCATTTTAGAGAAAGAAGAAGGGAGAGGGATAGAGAGAAACACCGATGAGAGAGAACCATCTATGGACTGCCTCCTGCATCTCCTCTACTGGGGATTGAGCCAGCAACCAGGGCACACCTGGAATCAAACCTGTGACCCCTTGGTTCATGGGTTGATGCTCAACCACTGCTCCACACCAGCTGGGCTGAAGCTATAGCTTTTACAAGTTAATGCCACTGCCCTGGCTGGGTGGCTTGGTTGGAGTGTTCTCCCTTACACCAAAAGGTTGCATGTTCGATTCCAATCAGGACACAAACCTAGGTTGCAGGTTTGATCCCTGGTTGGGTGGGTAGAGAGGCAACCGATCAATGTTTCTCTCTCTCTCTCACATCGATGTTTCTCTCTCTCTCACTACAATCAATGAAAACATATCCGCAGGTGAGGATTGAAGGGAAAAAAAGAGGGAGAAATAGTTGCCAATGATAGAGAAACTGGGAGGAGAGGCAGCTAAGTGTGTGGACTCCAGTTTTCCTTTCCTCAGGGAATGATGAGCAGCTGTGGCCAACTGAACCTTTGCTTTAACTCTGACTTTGGCTAGGACAAAACTTATTGTCCTGACTGGTGCCCCAGGGAGCCCTGGCCAGTGACCATAGTTGCTGTTTTCAAAGTATGATCGTAAAATGTGTATTTTTTGAGGGTTTTTTTCAGATAGAGAGGAGGAAGTACAAGGGTATGTACCTACTTAATTACTAAAGAGTGGCTTTTTCAAATCTGCAGATCTGCAGCTTATCCCACTTGCTTGTAATTGGAATAAAATGATTCTACTACCAATAGAATTCTAATGGGTGGAAAGGAGAGTTTGAGTAATGCAGCTACACCAATAAATGCCAGTTCCGTCCTAGCAGCTAAAAAGTATAATGATTGGGATAAAAAAAAAAAAGTAGCGTGAAAACTCACTCATCTATAATCTGGTTTTCACACACAGCAGTGACCTTGTTTGAGAGCTTTTTAATGCATGGACTTCTCTTCCTTGGAAAAGAAATGATAACTGAAAATGTGTATATAATGCAAAAACTTCTCTTATGCAGTTTTCAGCTAATGAGCTAATTACTACTGTGACCGATTTTAAACATGTTTGCTTTAGTAAATTCCAATTTAGCTCATTCTGTTCCAATTTTAAGTAATCTCGTCATGTGGTAATTTAAGGAAAAAGTTGGATGATCAAATACTTAAAGAAAAAATGTTTGGTTCAGGTAAAGATGATTTTAGGAGACAGACAACTAAGTTCCTTTTGGTACTTTTGAGTTTATGTACAACTTAAAAAGAACCTATTAAAGTGCTAGTTTCTGGTAAGAGTGTAATTAAAACCCTTGTTATAGACTCTGAAGGAGAGGAAAGACATGCACTGCTCATCATTGTGTGCCTGGGCACACAGCTCTGATCTGAGTGGCTGGAGTGCAGTAGTTAGCCGTGTATGCCATAAATATTTAGACAGTGCTTTCTGTTTATAAATCACTTATCAAAACAGTTTTATGATACAATCACATGTAAGTGGGGAAACCTTTTAAAACCCAGTTTTTTGGTTTTTTTTTTGTTAATCCTCACCTGAAGATATTTTTTCCATTGATTTTTAGAGTGGAAGGGAGGGAGCAGGGGGAAGAGAGAAATATTGATGTGAGAGAGACACATCGATTGTTTGCCTCCCGCATGTGTCCCAACCCCTTACCTGACCAGGACAGGGGCTGGGGCTGAACCTGTAACCCAGGTACCTGCCCTTGATGGAGAATTGAACCTTTGATCTTTGGGTGCACCAACTGATGCTCTAACCACTGAGCAACACCGGCCAGGGCAAAAACCAAGTATTCTTAAGGAGCAGAGATAGATTGGTTGTAGTATGCTATATAATTATTTTTAAAATAACTATCTTCCCAAAGGATAACATTGCAGTGATACAACATTTTAGGGGAAATTTCTTTCAATAATGAACTTTTATGAAGATAATGTTAAAAATCATTTCTTTATCACTTTAGATTGATTCTGCTGACACAAAGGATAAAGTGTTGGTGTTTTTCAAGCTGCGACCTGAAGTGATTACAGATCAGAATCTACATAACAACATTCTTGTTTCCTCTATGTTAGAATCACCTATAAATTCCCTTTATCAGGCAGTACGGCAGGTATTTGCACCAATGCTGTTAAAGGTGAGTAAAGTAGCTGTATAGTCGTTTTGTTGTTTTGTAACTTAGGTTATTTGGATAAATACTTTCATAATCAAATATAAGTATTACTTTATATGCTGTTAATATTAGTATTTTAGCTTTTTAAATTAAAATATATATTTTAATTAAAAATTTTTACAAAAAGTAAGCTTTGATGACAAATAGAGAAAGTGGATAAAGACATAAAATGCAGTCCTCTTAAGCTCTTACATTGCTATAAGCACTTTTTTTCTCCTTTGTGAGAGAGAGTGTCAGGCTTTAAGTGAAACGGGTGTATGTGGACTTAGTTCTTTGATAGTGTTTTAGGAAGTAAATTTGATTGGCAAGCTTTTGATCGCTGTTTGCTCTGTTTTTATTTAGGATCAGGAATGGAGCAGAAACTTTGATCCCAAACTTC